GGAGCCGCGGTCGCCCGGGCCGAGATTGGGGGGGCAAGGCGGGCGACAGAAGGCCGATGCCTCCGTCGCCCGGCCCTCTACAGAATCCACCCCCCAAACCTCCAGGTATTTCCCTCCTTAGAGCTGGCAACCCTACATTCCCCTCAGTGCCTGTTGGTAGGCAACTAAGCTTGGTCCTGTCACCTACTTTGGCCTTTGGGAGAAAACACATTGGGGCCAGTCCTGATAGGGTTGCCAACTCCAGATGGGAAATTCCTGGAGACTTGAGGGATGGAGCCTGAAGAGGGTGAGGTTTGAGGAGGGGTGGGACCTCAGACAGGTACACTGCCATAGACTCCACCCTCCAAACCAGTCAGTCTCACATAGGGAACCATTGTTGCCAATCTCCAGGTGAGGGCTGGAGAGCACTCAGTATTACAACTGTTCTGCAGAAGGGAGGGCAGAAGTCAGCTGAAGTCAAAGGGGCAGATAATGGTAGGTTGGTGGCTAGCTGGGAAGGAGATGGGGTTGCCAACTACATGCTGACAAATTCCTGGGGATTTGAGGGGTGGAGCCTGGAGAGGGTGGGGTTTGCAGAGGGGTGGGACCTCAGACAGGTAGAATGCCATAGACTCCACCCTCCAAACCAGCCATTTTGTCCTGGGTAACAATTGTTGCCAATCTCCAGGTGAGGGCTACAGATTACTCACAATTACAACTGCTCTTCAGGTAGCAGAGATCAGTTCCTCTGGAGAAAACAGGGGACTCTGTCATTATACGCTGCTGAGGTCACCACAGCAAATTGACACTGTTTGCCGAAAGCCAGAGCACTCCCCCAGAGCCTCTTTCTAGATCTCGTTGTATTTATTTCCACAACGGGCTTTACTGCTAGTAGTGAATATAATGCAGCATGGTAGATTCAAATTTCCTTTTTAAAATAAAGGAGGGAAAAACTATGGTAGCAAATTGTGCTGTTAGAGCAATAAAGTTTTCTGTCATGTCAATATTCTTCTTGGCTAGGAATTAGAGAATCTCTTTTATCACTGGGATTAAAGATGAATTTATCCAGTAATAATTACACATTATTTTTAAAGTACATATGGAATTGCAGGTTGCTGCAAAAGGAAGATGTGCCATTGGTTTCAAGATGTGCCATTGGTTTCACTCTGCGTAGTAAAGCCATCCAATATGTGAGATCAGTATAACTGATAAATAAGTCCCAGGTTACACACACACTCAGATGTATCTCTTGTATATTAATAGTACTTTTAAAAAGCAACTTTATTAATTTTGCCAATATAGTAATGATTTGTATGGAATAAAGCACTCTGTGTTGGAATTATCACACATTGGTACAAGCA